CTAAAACTTCTTTGTCGTTGTGGAGAGCGCAGTGCATGGTTGCATAGCAACGACAGACAGCACGGGAAATCGGACCGAATTTTACTTTTAATAATAAAAGATGGCTAATGTGCATCAATGTAAATGGCAAGTAATTAATCTTTTTTTTACTCATTCTTTTAATAAAAATTATTTAAAGGCTGAAATATGTGAGGTTTATCTTTTTATAAAACCTTTTTTGTGAAAATTATTTAAAGGCTGAAATATGTGAGGTTTATCTTTTTATAAAACCTTTTTGTCAAAACTTTATTGGAATTTCATTTTACTATATGTGCCTATAGGGGTGGCAGGGGTTGGCGGCAATGTAAGTATCTGGATATTTGCCGCGGGGCGAGGGCTTCGATTACCTCTCTCTTTTTTGACCATACATGTTTGCATCCCTGAAATGAACCTGAGTATGCCCTCGGGCGCTTGAGTAAATAAATCAATTAAATATGTGGCAGCCGTTGTGTGCAGTAAACGTTCTTTTAACAAGCTGTTGTACTGATGTGATGACCAGTTATAGTTTTAGTGCTAGTAAGTCTATTTAGAGGTGCGGATTAATTCAGGTAGGACTGTGTGTAGACATATTTTATTATGTGTATTGTCAAGTTGTGACTTATTACTTGTGCAATTCCCCACTTGAAAAGGACAGTCCCTCCACATGAAGATCTTAACTGGATTTCACTCAATAAACAGCCATGGGATCAGTTGTTTGTCTTTTATTAACCATTCTTTGGTGCGCAGTAAACAGGTGAAAAACCTCAAAAGAGAGATGAAAAATACAAGTTATTATCTGAGTTGACAGCCAAATTAAATAAACAAATCTATTCACATTAAAACACATTATTGCCATTATAAGTAACAAGGTTTCCATTTTTTAAACAAATGTTATCCAAATAAATACCCATCATTTTAAATCAAATGATCAGAATCAGTAAATTTTTAGCCAAATCCACATTTTAGCCAAATGCAATACAAAATATGTTTAGTAGTAAAAAATTCAATTTACTTTCTAATCATTAATTTTAAGCCGCATTTTCCTAGTAAAGAATTATTATAAGGTATCATTGTAGCTACACAACTAGATATGTTATTCCAAACAAATCAGTTTTTTACTTTTAAAAATGTATCTTATCTTTTAACCAAGTATCTGTAGCCAAATACCCTTTTCCCCCACTTGGTTTATTAAGATTTCTACAATGTTTAAATTACTTTTAACCATTTCAATCACATTCTTTGTCAAACAATGAATTTGGCTTTCTTACTTTCCTCTATACCCCACTTGTTTGATAAAACCAAACAACATTTGAAGTAATAAATACCACTGCAATAAGACCCATCAAAGTCAACAAGAGTTAGAGTCTGTGTTTTCCCAGAGCATCATTAGCACTTCACTGCTTAAGTCAATCTAGCCAACCATGGCCAATATGGCGCTTACCGGCTGTCCTTCACAGTTTTGTGGAGGGCTTGGTCTTGCACAATCACTTTGATAACAAAGATAAAGTTTCCTTGATTTTGTGGTGCTATCAATGCTTCTTCCACTGCGGTTTAAAGACAACAACAGAGCCAGTTACTAGCACGCCCAGATTGCCTGGAAGATTTGTTCCACCTGGTTCACCACTGATTGAAGGGGAGGAGGAGCTCCCAGGCAGTTTGTCAGCACACCTCCCACTCGATCTTCCCACGGGAACCGATTGAAAGATCGTAAATCAGCACCTGCTTACTGCCGGTCAGCTCCGAGTTTGGTCCTCAACCGGTAGCAAGACAACCAGGCGTCGAACATCTCTGTGCAGAACCGTGCTTTGGGTAGCTTCTTTCAGGACTTTGGCTGATGGCCGGTTTAGTGCGGGTTTTGTGACAGGAAGGCAGGAGCTTTGGACCACTTTGACGTTCACGTCTCGAACAATGCCCTTAGTATCTGGATTGACGCTCACCACCCGTCCTAGCTTGAATTGACCCCTCACTGCATTTTGGTCGCACAACCACACAATATCTCCGACAACAACATTGCGATGCAAAGTGTGCCATTTACTTCTCAGAAATAAGTTTGGGCCAGCAAGCTGGCTCCAAGACCTCCAGAACTTGTTGACTTGGTTCTGCATCTCTCTGAGTCTCTTGTAAGGGTAATTTGCAAAGTCAAATGTTCTGACCTCACCGCTTGGAGAGGCTCGGCCCAGGAGAAGTGTTTGGTGACACATACTGCACGCTTTCTTCATGGCTCTGCACCCTGGCGTCTATTGGGCGTTCGTTGGCAAGGTTTGCAGCAAGTTGTAGTGTTGTCTGAAGCTCGCTGTAGCTGAGGCCAGTGTTGTTGCCCAGGCTCTGGAGTGCCTTCTTGAGAATGCGGACAGCGGCTTCAGCAGCCCCATTGCGGTGAGGTGAGTCAGCAGGGTGAATTGTCCACTCCCATTTGGTACCTTTTTGAGCCGACATCTCTTCTATTGAAGTTCTATTCTGAGCATCCAGGAACTGGTACAACTCTCTTAGAACAGGTTTAGCACCGATAAAGTTTGTCCCCGGGTCGGACCAGATCTTTCTTGGGTGCCCTCTTATTGCAGTAAATCGTTGGTAAGCCATCAAGAAGCTCTCTGTCGACATTGTGTTGACCAAGTCTGCATGAATTGCCCTGCTGGCCATACAGCTGAAGACGACACCCCACACTTTCATTGAGACCCGTTTCTTGATGTCATCTTTGACAAGATACGGTCCAAAGAGGTCGACTGTAGTGAACTCAAACGGGGCTGCAGGCGTGGCTCTTTCAGGAGGTAGGTCAGCCATTACTTGTTTGCACCTTCTTGCTCTTGACTTTTTGCAGAAAAGGCAGTTCTCCACTACTTTTTGGGCAATTTTCCTCCCTTGGATGACCCAAGCTTTCCTCCTCATTTTCAGCAGGGTTGCAGCCACACTTTCATGACCCTCATCGTGCGCCTCCCGTGCCAATAAAGTAGAGACCCATGCATTGAAAGGCAGAAGGGGAACTGCAGCGCTATCCTCCCTGAAGCCATGGATCCTCCCACCGCATACTAGTAACCCAGATTCTGGCTCTCTGTACACAACCAAGCGGTCCATAGTGGTAGCTGGGAACGTCACCCCCTCTTGAGCAGCAAGATAGATGTCTCGTCTTGCTTCTTGACGTTCTGTTGCGGTGATAACTCCTTTTGTGGGAATCGCCTCCCACTTTGGGTTCTCAATGGACTTTGTTGCAGATGTAAACTTTTTTGCGGCTCTCCAGATAAAAGCAACAGTCTTGATTAGACATTTTAGGCTACTAAAGCGCCTCTCATCCACCAAGATTAGGACAGCTGCACCAGCAGGAAGTCGTCCCACAAGACTTGGAAGACTTCTTTTCGCTTGGGCTCTTGTGAGTGCTGCCACGAATGACTTCTTTTGCATATTGTTAATGCTTTCTCGAGCTGTCACAGACACATCTTTTGACGACACAATTGGCCACTCACTCTCTGGAAGATATAGAAACTCTGGCCCTTGCTGCCACTCTGAATGGACATCAAGTTTCTTTGGCCCAGCTCCTCGAGTGATAATGTCGGCTATATTAAGTGGTCCAGGGATCCACCACCAGTCCTGTAGCCGTGTACTTTCTTGGATCTCTCCAATTCTATTAGCGAAGAAAGTCTGAAATCCATAGCTTTCACGCTGGATAGCTCCAAGAACAGTCTGACTGTCTAACAAATGGTACCACCTTTTTATCTGGATCTGGGTATGCTGTTCAAAGTACTTTTTCAGGCGGCTTGCAAAAACTGCACCGCAAAGTTCTGCTTTGACCGCATCCCCCTTCTGGTCTAGAGGTGTCAGCTTTGCTTTTGACTCCACTAATCGAATTATTAATTGTTCGTTACAGTTTCACCGCAGGTAGAGGACAGCACCATAGGAGCTTTCACTGCCATCTGAAAAAGTGACAGCGATTGGTTCAGTTGTTGCCTTTGGTGGAGTAAGGGCTCTTGGGAACCTTACTTTGCTTAGCTGGACGTACTCCTCAAAAATTCCAATTGCATCCTTGCGGAGCTCATCCGACAGAGGAAGGTCCTATGTGTCCTTGACCATGCTGCACTTTGGTTTTGCCTCTTGGAATGCCCTTCGGACTAAGATAGCCTCTTTTTGCTTTGTTGGCGTTGTCAGGCCAACTGGGTCGTGCAAACCAGCAACTTGACTCAACAGTTCACGTCTTGTCAGCGGGTCTGGTGTCTGTGCTTGTACTTCTTCTAGCAGCAAGTCTTGCCCAAGTCTCATCTTTTTCTTTCGCCTGGAGAAGTTGACCCTCACCATGACATGCAACATGTCTTCATCCACGATGTAGCCGAGACCGAGCGCCTTGTTGTCTTCCTCCTTAAGCTGGTTCGGCAGGACAACAATATTTGGCGATGCCTTTCCTCTTTCTCCTTTACCTTGACCTGAGAAGACCCAAGGCTTCAGTGCAAACCCTCCTGCTTTTAGAATAAGCTCCACATTCTTTGTGATGACTTCGAGTCTTTCACGGCAGTTGTGGGATGTCAAGATGTCATCGACGTAGCTGTGCTCATGTAACACTTGATATTCATCTGTGAGGTGGCTGAATTGAGGCAGGTTAGCTGTCTCCCTCATGGCAAGTTGTGCTATGCAACCTGCTGGCTTGTCCCCGATATTCACTCTGGTTACGGCGTACTGTTCTAGCTCATCACCCTCTGAATCACGCCACAAGAACCGGTGTAGATGGACTTCCCTCTCCTCGAGCCACACAGAATTGTACATTTTTCTGACGTCTCCTAGAGCGGCGAAGGAGCCTTGGCGGAACTTTAGGAGGTGAGCCCGGATCGGGTTGAGAACATCAGGGCCTTTCATTAGAAAGTCATTGAGACTTTGGCCTTTGTACTTCTGACTGCTGTTCCAGACAAGTCTTACCGGAGTTGTAACAGAGTGGGGGTTGGGTGCGATAAGATGACTAATATACCAGACAGGTCCATTCCAGTTGGTTAGATCCTCTTTGGTCAGGTCAGCTTCCTTGCAGCCCGGCGGTCAACCATTTCGTGGACTTGAGCACCATAGGCTTTTTTCCACTGCGGTTCTTTGGCGAGCTGTCTCTCTGTTCTGAGGAAGGTTGCCTCCACTGCTTTTCTGTTGTTTGGCAATGTAGATGGGTCCATGAGCCATGGATATCTTGCATGCCAGTGTGGACTATCACTGTGGTCATCAGCACCAACAGAAGTCAGGCCACCCTTTACAACTTCCAGCTCCCTTTCTTCAGCCAGAGTCATCTCTTTGCCACCAGGTTGACAACTTCCGCAGCGAAATCCTCCGCATTTTGGGGTGCAGGGGGCGCCAATGCTATCCCATCTCCACCACTCAACAAAATCCCGAGTGGTAATAGCAGAACAAAAAGACTTGATGGTAGGTTTGTCGCAAATTTGTTCCTCATACATCAATGCTGCTGTTCTCATTGACCTGGCAAAGTGCGCTCTGGACTGGTGTGCCGTAACTGTAGCTTCTTCAAACAAACCAGGGTGTGTCCCTGCAATTGTCTTTCCCAATGGCCCATCCCATAGTACAAGGTCCCCAACGGTGCGTATTTTCTGTGGGACCAGTCGCCCTTCCTTATGGCTCATCAAAAGCTGTATCTGTCTTGGTCTCACAAGTTCATTTTGGGGGACATCTGGAAAGAACTTTTGGAGTTTTTTGGCTGTCACATGTTTGTGGATATCTGCAATGCCATCCAAACCATAGCAGAGGAGTTGGTGGGATCTGAAGTTGCCTTGCTCTGTGCGGACCCGGAGCTTTAGGAGGTACCGTTTTGTGGTAACTTGAACTTTCATTCCTCCCACACCGTGGACAACAAGGGTTATGGCTTCACTTCTAAGGTTCAAACGATCAGCTGCATCATGAGTTATGTAATTTGTATCCGATGCCAGGTCGATCAAGGTCCCAACTTTTTCTCCTGCATTTGCCGTGACCTCTAAGAGCATCATGATGACTGGCCACTCCACGATTCCATTCTCTGCTAGAAGACTGGGTTGGTTAGATACAAGAGAGGTTCTGGCTATAGAGTTACAAAATGCATCGCGGCACTTCCCTGCAAGTTCAGGTGAGAGGCTTTTGATGAACTCTTCTTGGGCTTGGGTGTAACACTCTCTTGTGTCACCTCCTACTTTGCTGTTGTGGTTGGACCTCTGGACGATATTCCCTTTGGACGCATCAGCTCTCGGGCACAGATAATAATGGTGTTCTGCAGCACGCTGTTCTCTGCAGTCTGGCCTCCTGCACAGAAACTCTGATTTACAACAGTCACCTTCATTGTGAATCTCCAGGCATTTTTTGCAGGCTCCCAGCTTCCTAACAGCATCTCTTTTCTCTGACAGTTTAAGCGCGCGAAACTTTTGGCAGAAGTATATCCTCTTCTTATGCTTGCCGTCTCCGCAGACCACACATCCTTGAGCCTGGTTGCTCAATTGGGTGGAAGTCCTGGTTCGAGCTTGTCGAGGTTCAGGTTTTGGCTTTGGTTCCTCCTCTCTCAGTTGGTCCAACTTCTCATAGATGGCTTCTTGACCTTGAAGAAACTTGAAGAGGTAGTCAAAACGCTTGTCTTCTTCAGCTTCATCAGCTTTGCCAGCTACATGAAGAAGCCATTCCTTCTTCAGGCCATCAGGAAGTTTACTCTCTATTGTTTTTGTTACAAGAGGGTTTTTTATAGCACCAGTCCTGCCAAGCTCATTCAGATCGACCAGGGCTTTTTCTACAGATTGGATGAGCTCAACAATCCTCCTAGGCTGATTACCTTTAACTGCTTGGAGTTTTTGGAGCTCTTCTACTATCTCAAGGGCTATAGTTGTCTTATTTCCAAAACGGTTCTCCAAAACCCGGAAAACGTCCTCAGCAGTTGTGTAAGTTGTAAGGCGGAGGTCTCGTATTGTCTTCTCATCCACACTGTCGAGAAGTTGGTACTTTTTAATCTCTTTGGATCCAGTAGGTTCTCCCTGCATCTGGAGTGCTTCCCAATCCTTTTTCCACCGGTGAAACTCTCGGCGGATACCAGAAAACTTTGGGAGGGCAGCTGGCTTCACTTTAATTACTGGTGTGGTCACACGACTGATTGAAGTAGTACTTAATCTGCTGGTTTCTTCTCTGACGTGTGCCCCAATAAATTCAGCTTGTCTTATTGTGAGTTTTGGCAGGATAGTTTCAAGGTCTTTGATACGACTCTGGAACTGTTGTTGCTCCGCTGGGGGGACCCAGCACTTCCAATGCCTATGCACTTCCTTCGCAGCCTTCAAAAGTTTCTCTAGTTGCTCGATCATGAAGAGATATCCATCTGGGCTTTTACTTGGGTCCACAGCTCCCACGTTTTCTACTTGCGACTCTGCTGTTGTAATTGCTTGTGTCAGTTCATATTCCCCGAAATTGGCCCACAATGTCTTTTGTATGAGGTCCTTTAGCTCTTGCAGTTTCTTCTCACACTCATTAGCTGTTTTGACCAAGTCCTTCTTTTGCTGCTCACTCAACTCCTCTGCATCAGAGTTTTCTTCAATACATTGCTCCTCTACATCGTTGTTGGCTTCCAGGACTTTATCAGCTTCTGCAGTGAGCTTCTTAAAAATGTCTCTGAGCTCCTCTTCTAACATCATTGTATGCATTCGTAGCACATTATTGGCCAGACGGGAAAACTGACGCTTCGCTGATGTCCTTGCGGTCTTTAGCTGATCCAACAGTAATGAATCAGCCATTTCAATCACGACAGCAGGGCGGGAACAGTCTTTATTTGTCTCTATGGACACGTGTCTCACTTTTCTGGTCCTTCTCCAGTCTTGAGAGCGGTTTTTCACTGTCAAGTTGTGACTTATTTCTTGTGCAATTCCCCACTTGAAAAGGACAGTCCCTCCACATGAAGATCTTAACTGGATTTCACTCAATAAACAGCCATGGGATCAGTTGTTTGTCTTTTATTAACCATTCTTTGGTGCGCAGTAAACAGGTGAAAAACCTCAAAAGAGAGATGAAAAATACAAGTTATTATCTGAGTTGACAGCCAAATTAAATAAACAAATCTATTCACATTAAAACACATTATTGCCATTATAAGTTACAAGGTTTCCATTTTTTAAACAAATGTTATCCAAATAAATACCCATCATTTTAAATCAAATAATCAGAATCAGTAAATTTTTAGCCAAATTCACATTTTAGCCAAATGCAATACAAAATATGTTTAGTAGTAAAAAATTCAATTTACTTTCTAATCATTAATTTTAAGCCGCATTTTCCTAGTAAAGAATTATTATAAGGTATCATTGTAGCTACACAACTAGATATGTTATTCCAAACAAATCAGTTTTTTACTTTTAAAAATGTATCTTATCTTTTAACCAAGTATCTGTAGCCAAATACCCTTTTCCCCCACTTGGTTTATTAAGATTTCTACAATGTTTAAATTACTTTTAACCATTTCAATCACATTCTTTGTCAAACAATGAATTTGGCTTTCTTACTTTCCTCTATACCCCACTTGTTTGATAAAACCAAACAACATTTGAAGTAATAAATACCACTGCAATAAGACCCATCAAAGTCAACAAGAGTTAGAGTCTGTGTTTTCCCAGAGCATCATTAGCACATCACTGCTTAAGTCAATCTAGCCAACCATGGCCAATATGGCGCTTACCGGCTGTCCTTCACAGTTTTGTGGAGGGCTTGGTCTTGCACAATCACTTTGATAACAAAGATAAAGTTTCCTTGATTTTGTGGTGCTATCAATGCTTCTTCCACTGCGGTTTAAAGACAACAACAGAGCCAGTTACTAGCACGCCCAGATTGCCTGGAAGATTTGTTCCACCTGGTTCACCACTGATTGAAGGGGAGGAGGAGCTCCCAGGCAGTTTGTCAGCACATGTATTATGAGGTGGTCCGCGAAAATTCTTGATTACAAATAGTGGTCCACACACACAAAAAGTTTGAAAACCCCTGCTCTACTGTACAGGAGTAAATCTGCATTTCCTTCAGTCTGAGGCTTATTATTTCACTTTTGGTGTGAAAGGGTCTTTACATTTGCCCAAAAATATATCTTTTTTGGTATAAAAAAACAAGCCCAGCCCAGGTGGAAAAAAAGTAACGCAAAAGTAACGTAACACATTACTTTTCTAAAAAAGTAACTAAGTAACGCAATAAGTTACTTTTTAAGGGAGTAACGCAATATTGTAACGCATTACTTTTCAAAGTAACTTTCCCCAACACTGGTCCCAATATTTGATACTCTTTCTGGATACTGTTATGGATATGTTTATATAAATTGGCTTTGCAGTGCTATGGTGAACTGCTCCATTGCGTACAAATTATAAAATACTTTAACGAGTTCGTTTGCCCATAAAATCTTTAAGATATTAGGTTAAACTTATTTGGCTTGCTGTCCGCTGGAGAGGGGCTCGATGAAGCAGCTTCAACTCGAGCTCTGATATACCCCCCAGTGGCTAAATGTAGGACCTGTTAATTAAAGGGCAAGGTACCTAAGATGAAGGTGGAGTTTGGGGAGGTGGAGGGATACTGGAACAGCTGATACTAGGGAGAGGTAAGCGGCTGCTTATATACTCTGTTTGTTGATTGAAAGATTGGATGGGCTCGCTCCTCCCTAACTTACGTTTAGGAACTTCATTTAAGTTTTGCTTCCTACAATGGACTGTAGGTAATTATTTAATTGTTTTCTGTCTTATAAATTATCCTGTTACTATTTGGGTATGGGAAACCCCAAACAAATTGAGTGTATGAGTGAACTGTGTGAATGAATTACAATGAATTTCAGACCTTTTTGCAAACCCATTTGAAAATTATATCAGTGATTGATTCACAAATCTTGCATCACTAATATTTATTCTAAACCGCTGATAGAAAATCCACATGACATGATTGCTGAAATGTTATGTGAAATGTAATGGTACTTTCCACTGTCAGGCAAAGATTTATTAATATTTTTTTTACCGAGGCATGCTGATATTTTCCAGTGACTCTTTCTTCAGGTTATATAGTTAAACCAGTAGGTATAAGGGGCTTTCTTCATAAGGGATTCACTGAACATTTCATTCAACCGGTTCGTTCAAAAACACTGATTCATTCAGTAATGAAACAAGAGGCTGTATGAGTGAATCATTAGAATCATTGACTCAACAGCTTTGTTCAAAATTGATTAATTTAGGAGCGAAACCTCATGGTTGCATCAGAATATGCATTCTTCCCTATAGGTTCAAAAGAGTAGTAGGCCTATGTTTAAATTCACAGTATTTATAAAACTGTAGGCAAAAAGTAGCCAGATGACCTATACTTCAGACGAGATTCTGAAGTGCACAATCCAATCCAATGAGGCGTTTTGTGAATGACATTGAAGTGATGCTGGTAGACCACATGACAATAACAACATGACAAATAGTACATCCAGATTACATTCATACTATCCATACTATTTAGAACATACTTTTTAACAGTCGCAAAGTAGCCTAATTACTTATTCAAAATAAATCCATACTCAGAAGTGATGCGATTTCAGATGCAGCCAGTGTCTTAGTTTGGAATGATTTTTTGTTGCAAAGTAAAAATAGATAAAGTAACTGGCAATATTGCTTCTAAAATGTAAGTTGCTGAACTGTTGTATTTAAAGCAGTATTGCTGTTGGTCGATTGAACAGAAGAACGACTGTGAGTCGGCCACAGGTGACGCTAATATTAGGAACAACAGCACTCACACTGTCATGAACATCAGTACATGAACATCTGTCATTAACATCTTTTGGGATCCACTTGAAGAGAGTCCTAAATGTGGGTTTGGAATAACATGAGGGTAAATAAAGGTATCACTTTATCTCGATAGTCCACTTTAGACATTCTACTGCAACTACATGTCGACTACCAGTCAGAGTATTAGTAGACTGTCTGCTTAATATCTTTAAAACTTTATTTTGATGCTCCCCCAACAGACATGCTACATGTCAACTTATTCTACTAACCCTAACGCTAACCTAACAGTCTAATACTCCAATGAGAGTTAGTTTACATGGTTGCAAATTAATGAGAGTTAGCTGACATGCAGCTGCAAATTTATAGTTCGTCTAAAGTGGACTATCGAAATAAAGTATAACCTAAATAAATTAGGAAAGAATTTAAATTTTTGGGTAAACACTCCAAATTTATTTGGTAACCATAAACCATTTAAATGGATGAGACAATATAAAAGGATGCAATAACCAATACTGTACAATATCAGACCATTACTCTCCTAGTAGACCTTTGCGTGGCAGGAGATTTGAGATATGAGAACCAGGAAAAGCTTTCATATATCAGAGGAAATGTCTCTCTGAGGTGGGGGACAGCATTCTTCATAGTTCACCATTATGTCTGTCAAATATCACACTCTCCTGTCCACAACCCTATTCAGCCTTGACTGAAACGACTCCACTAAGCCCGATACTGCATGTAGTGTACGTTTTATTGCTGTTGTTTCAGATATAGTTCTGTCTTTGTTGTTTGATTGTTGTTGAATCCAACTAATGAGCAAAGAAGTTGGAAAAAATGTTTGGTCTTGATTTTTATCTTTTACAAAAAACATGTTAGGTATGTTAGCTTTAGCAAAGTCAGGGGCTTAAAGTACAAATATTCAGATTATCAAATAAATTTCACATAACAAGAGAGGATTAGATGATGGTGAAGAATTTATAGAATTTCAAGGTGATGGAAGTGCCTGCTCTGTTTTCCTTAATATTTTTTTCTTTTATTTATTTATTTATTTGACAGGGACAATGCAAGTATCAAGCGCGAAGCGCAAGTAACTTTGTGGGCGGGTCTTGGGCACTGTTGCTATTTTACCGGCGGGATAAATGACTCTTGCGCCCGACGCAAGTTTAAAAGGGGTTGGTCTGAAGTAGCTTCATTATTCATAGGTGTGGTTTGGGCGTAACGTGAAATAAACCAATCAGAGCGTCATCCAACATACCCTTTAAGAGCAGGTGCGCATGTTGCATGGCGGATTGTTATTATTATGGTGGGTTTACCAGGCGCGCGCCAGGAGCAGTTCACAGCCGAGGAGACCGACGTTCTTGTCAGGGCAGTGAAAGACAGAGAAGTGACGTTGTATGGGGATGGGAGATTTTTTTTTTCCTGGTTCTTGACGGACTAACTAATTTGTCAGATGTCCTTATATACCAGCCCGTTCTCATCCTTTGGCGTCATACATGTGACGCTTTGGACATTTCGTTGAAATCTTACGCACATGGCATCCTTTAGCATCAATATGAGACGCAGAACCCAAGGCGTCATACAGGTGACGCTCGTCTAAATCCAACGCACATGGCATCGTTTAGCGTGAATATGAGACGCAGATCCCAAGGCGTCATAACCGTAACCCTACCCCAGACCTAAACCTATACCCTAACAGTGCGTGTTATATTGACACTAAAGGATGCCATGTGCGTAAGATTTCGACGAAATGTCATATGGCGTCACCTATATGACGCCAAAGGATGAGAATGCGTTGCAGCTACCGTACATATGTGTCTTGCCACTATTGGGCAAACAGGTCTGATCCGTCATTACTACAATTAGCCTGAAAATTTTGGGTAAATGTGTAAGCTAGATTTAGGCCTACATTTTTTTACATCTTCATGGACACCACAATGATTTCCCTCATGTGTTAATATTTTTCCTTGTTATAATGTATGATTTGCAAAAATCAAAACTGCTGCATCTGTGTTGATGAGAGAATCAAAGTGTATGCGCTTTGTGCACCCGCTACATTATGGCCAAGCATACGCGCTTAAAAAAGCATTATGAACAACGCGCAACACGCCACTGACTTAAACTAGGTTTTTTCTGGTCAGTGGCGGAATTGTTTTCTGGAACTGCAAAATAGCACTAGGGAATGTTTGCGCCGAAACACGCCTCCTTTTTGCGCCGACCCGCCCAGGGAGCGCAAGTTCATTTCCTAGTATACCGACGTGCGTCTGTGGAGGGAAAAGCCCGCTTTGCGCGGGTGCAAAATAGGAATGATACATGCGTCAGTGATACATGCGTCAACAAAGCTTGTCACTGAAGTGCTGCATATAAAGTTTATAGCAAATGCTAGTTTTCAACTCCTGTCCCTGGTTGGGCTTTTATACACAATAAAATGTACATACTTCACTACTTCAATTTGAAAAATATAAACATGATATATAAACATGCATATCATATACAACTCTTACCTACTTACAATAATTAAAAATAAGTACACTTTTGGTTTGTTTTTAACCAGTTTTTAAGCCTGGAAGTAAACACTTTAAAGTCAGGTACAGTCTTGATGTCAGACGGTAATGAGTTCCCAGAGTTTAGAGCTCTTCACAGCTAAATTGAATTTAGTTCATTTATACCCAAATTCTTCCATAATAAACCGTTTTGACAATAACATCCTTCACTGAAACAAGAAGTTCACTTACTGTATGTTAAGTTGCAGAAATGGACACTGACTCTTGCCTCAAGTCATCTCTGAAAATGTGCTAAGGGAGACATCTGAACATTTGACCTGTCTTCTCAAATGAACAGCGACAAACTATGGCAGGAAGTGAACTAACTCTTGTCATGGAGAAAGATTCTTTCTACTTTTAATATGCAGCTATAGTGCTTATTGTTAGTCTAAAAAAAAACTGTGATATTGCAAAATTTGACAGAGGACCAACTTGCTGACAGCATGCCTTTTTTCTCTCCCAAAGTCTTCTGACTGATTTAGTCCATTTCTGCTACTTTGTCACTGCTGTGTTGAATATCTCATGGTCTCTTGCGTTGTCCTCAGTGGACCTTCTCCAAAGGTTGCCCTGAGACACGCATAATGACCTCCTGTGGGATTTGGGAATCGGTCCATAATGTTGGCCTCT